CAGAGGAAGATTTTAGGTTGTGGGCTTCTTGATAAAAAGCAGCACCATCAATCACTCTTTTCTTCCCTTTGCTTGTACGAGGTCGGGATAATGATGTTTTTCCTCCTCAGGAAGATTATTCCCTTGGTGGCGAATCTGTCTTCTGAGATTTGGCTTTGTCTGCGACGATTTGAGTCAACAGGGCCAGGAGTTCATTGAGGGTCTTCTGCTGTGCTTGGAGCATAGAGTCCAGCTCAGCAGCCCTCTTTGCGAGATCTTCATGGTTTCCCGTTATATAAGCGGAGCTCTCATGTTCAACAAAAGAGCTTGATGATTAGGACTCTGCAATGGCTGAGTGTTCATGCGGAGCTCTCATGTTCAACAAAAGAGCTTGATGATTAGGACTCTGCAATGGCTGAGTGTTCATCATCGGAATTGGTTCCTCGATTAGGACTCTGCAATGGCTGAGTGTTCATCATCGGAATTGGTTCCTCTGGCTAACCTCTGATAGTTGATAGGGGTAATGGCTCCTGTTCGCGTCTGAGTGCATTGGTAGATTCCTTCAAACTCATTAGCGATTTCTCTGATTGTCGGTAAACGACTTGTCCCAGAGTCATCGGAACTAGGACCTGGGGCTTTTCCTCTTCCAATCACATTAATAGTGACCCCATGATATTCGGTCTCTGTAGACTTCTTCTTATGTGAACGTTGTCATTGGTTTGGTAAGGCAACGTTAGTTAATTGGTTGAACACCAATGGTTTAGCCGCATATAAGCAGCATTGACATCCCGAGAGGACCGTAGGAATCAGTCGTTCACATTGGAATGAACGAATAACTTGTTGCATCAGTGTTTCTTTCGATATGAACTCTCTCAAATCTGTCGTAAAGATTCAAGGAGAATTACTCACTAATCCTGAGGTTTGAATTGGAACCCCCTAGTCCATGATTAGACAAGATTAGCTCATAGTGAACATGGATCTGGTTGAGATACTTTGAATCCATGAACTTCTTATATCTGCCTCTTAATTTGGTCACACTATGCAGAGTATTCGAGGGTCTCGCTCTACGGTATACACCTGGTTCTGTATTAGATTTCGTTACCCAAACGCGTGCCTGAGCTTCATGTTCTGCTGGTGAAACGCAGTCCTGAGATTTGCGTTTTGCTAATAAAATGCAGTCTTAAAATCTGTATTTTGATTCTGAAACGCACTCCTGAGAGTTATGTTCAGTTTGTGGAACGCACTCCTGAGAGTTGTGTTCTGTCAGATCAATGTAACTTTGAGGTCTACGTTTTGATGTTGGAACGTGCCTCTGAAGGCTGCATTTTGATTGCACAACACGCCACTGAGGGCTGCGTTTGGCATAAGCTGAGCCCCCTCCTTCGGATGAGGGGTTGTTCGTGCAATCTTGGCTAAAGGAGAAGGCTTCCTTCGGCATAGGAGCAACAATTGGAGCTTTAGTCTCTTTAAAGACTTTACGGATTTTACGCATAGCCTTAGGGCTAAGGGATCTGAAGGAGAGCAACTCCTCATACTTAGCTTGGTCGAACTCGATAATTAGAGTTTCAATTGTGTTTCCAGTGAGCTTGACGTCAGATTGCGCCACCACTCTTTCATTAGAGAAGCTTGTCCCCAACGGAGTCGCCATCCTTTATTTGTGGAAAATTCGTAGTAAAAATAAATAAAAGAAATTTGATTTGTATTCTCTCAATCTTAATTACAATTTGAATTCCGATTACAAAATAGAGGAGAATGATCTGGATTCTCCCATTTGTTTAATTCTGGGTTCTTCACGGTGGTGATGGAGTGCCACCCTCGAATGCTCGTGTCGAGTTTGCTCTCCGTTGATGATCCGACATTTTACTTCACTGGAATGATATATTCTCCTTATGATTTGAAGTTGTGGAGAACTTTCGTGGCAAGTTTTAAAGAACTCTTGATGAGTTGATAACTCTGAACGAGTTTGAAACTCTATGAAAGAGTTGATTTAATCGAAATCGGTTTGTAAGCCAAGGACGAGCTCCTCGTTGTTGAAGTTGAAGATGATCACTGTTGGAGAATGATGCCGATCCCTTTAGGCCCTTTCTGCTCCAAGAAATTCCAACCCCTAACTCAGTTGAATTTCTTCTTATTTATAGGGGATTAAAGGGTGTAACCACCCCCTTAATTCACTCCTAAGTGGGGCTGAATAGAGTGTAACCGCCCCCTTAATCTGCTCCCCAAATTGTGAGGAAAACGGTTTTTGAAACTGTTCAATTTGTACTTTGAACGAGTCAAACGCTGAAAAATAGCATTCAGGACCAGAACTCTGCGTTTTAGACTTAAAACGTAGAGTTAGGCCTATTTTGGTGGTTGAATGCACAGGTCGCACTGCGTTGAAATGAACTCTGCGTTTTAAGCCTGGGACGCAGAGTTGAGCTTTGCAAGAACTCTGCGTTTTGAGCCTGGGACGCAGAGTTGAGTTCTGCATGAACTCTATGTTTTGAGCCTGGGACGTAGAGTTGAGCTCTGCATGAACTCTGCACTTTGAGCCTGGGACGCAGAGTTGAGCTCTACATGCACTACTGCAAAGGGGACTATTGGCGACGGACAAATCCGTCGCCAAAAGTCCAAAATCCGTCGCTAAAAGTTTTAGCGACGGAAAAAAAGAAATTCCGTCGCTAAAACTCCGTCACTATTATCAGGGTAGGTAAATCTACCTTTAGCGACGGCTAATCCGTCGCTAATTTATAGCGACGGTTATATAGCGACGGAAAATCCGTCGTTTATGTATAATTTATTAACGACGGAATTTTCCGTCGCTATATACTAACCGTCGCTATAATTTTTGACGACGGAAAATCTGTCGCTAATTTATAATTTTGGCGACCGTATTTCCGTCGCCCTATTTCCGTCGCTATATAATTTTCCGTCGCCAATATATATTGGCGACAGAAAATCCTTCGCTGAAAACTGTATTAGTGCACAACTGGCGTGTCAGTTTTCCGTCGCTAAAAGATCTTTTAGTGACGGATATTCCGTCGCTAAAAATCATCTGAAATTTTTTTAAAATTTTTTTTGAAAATTAGAAATTCCTGTACAATATATTTCACAACAATAACCTGTACAGTAAATTTACACAACACAAGCACATATAACACATATTTCACGCATATATAACAATTATTTCACTAAAACATAATAATATCCCAACATTAGAAATGTTATTTATACAGCACACCCATTGTTTTTAATGTTAAAACAAATAAACTCAGTCCCGATCATCATCATCCTCATCACCAACTCCACCATGTCGAGAAGTCCCAGCCTAAATAAATAAATAAAACGTTATAAAGCAATACGTACATCATCAAAAATTGAATTTTACAGTAAAGTAACAAATTATAAAACAACAAAGCATAACATGCAAGTATAGCAATAATAGAGTATCATGGCATATTCTTACATGTTATATGATTTAGAGAGAGTATCATGGCATATATTTATGTATTATACGCAAGCACGCACATGTTTTTAACAACGCACGCACACACTCTAACCTCACCCGCACACACGCACGCACCCGTACCTATCTCCACCAACACGCACACACGCACACACACAATACAACACATGCAACACCACAACACAACAATAACAACACCACCACCACCACAATAACAATCCCCCAACCCCACCCACCAACCAACCACACTTCCCCCTCCCCCACCACGACCAAACCCAACATCAAGCACGCACATAACGATCACGACAATACAACACATGCAACACCACAACACAACAATAACAACACCACCACCACCACAATAACAATCCCCCAACCCCACCCACCAACCAACCAAACTCCTACCCCCCACCCCCTCCCCCTCCATCATCATCACCACCACCACCACCACCACGACGAAAACACCCACCAACCAACAACATAACCAACGACCCTACGCACGAACGCCCCACAACAAAATAAAATAACAACCAACTAACCAACTCACTAGCCAATACAACCATCGCTACGCACGCACGCACCATCAACACCAACATCACATAAAAACATTAAGTATATAATTTTAGTTGTGTTTCGGAGAGAGATATAGTTTGTGTGTAACAGTTTGTGTGATATCATTTAGTCACATGGCATACTCGTAACTAAGTAAGAATTTTATATTTAATTCATTTAATTAAAAAAAGAAATATATATATATATATATATATATATACAGGACGCACTATCAGTAGCAACATATGAAAAATATTATTCATCACTGTCACAATAACTCAATAGTTCAAAGCCATATATAAACTCTTAGAAACTGGTCGAAACATTCCCTCCTTCACAAATAGACCGCCGAGTTTTGAGGGTGAGATTTATAACCTAGGAGTAATGCGATTCTGCTCCGCGGGGGTCACAATGTGGTTTCGGGTGATTTCTTTGAGTGAAGTGCATCCACTGAGCGCCATTGTGAGTTCAAACTCGTCTCGGAGCATCTGAAGCACTTTTCTAACGCCAGCTTCGCCTTCGGCTGCCAGGGAAAATACCACTGGCCTCCCGATCTGAAGTATCAAGGAAATGCCCGTATGTTATTATATGATAAAAGAAGAGTAATTTTTGCACGCAAATTTCATGGACCAAGTACAGGGACAAGGTGATATGTATCACTTTCTTGGGATTCCAACATACACCAATGATTTACCGCAGAGACACATTACTTGTCCCCGTAATTGATCCCATGATTTTGGGTCCAAGATTAATTTCTCATAAAAGAAAGAGCATAACACAAAGGATGTTTGCATGAGAATAGCTTAGTACCAAGAGGTATATAAGAAAACCACAGGGTTACACTTTTCAATCAAAACATATTAACCGAACTTTAGCAAGTCTTGTGGAGAACCAAATGATTTCAATTGGAATACCAAGTATGGTGTATTTGGTCAGAAGAAGTTGAAGTGCCATGTTGTTCCAACTATAATCCAAATTTAACCGACTAAATCAAAACTCAAAACATCTTTTCGGCTACATGTTCTTACTCCCGACGCGACTGCCAATCTTCCATCGCTTTCATCCGCTGCTCCATAGTCGGGTCTTGAGAAGAACTGCATCCTGGTGGAGCTGCAGACTCGTAGGTGCTACTGGACTCGTACGGCCGATGCTCGGATCCTCTCCACCTGTATCTGTTCTTCCTACTCGGTCCAATGACGGTCTCGATGATGCTATCCTCCTCCTCTCTACTTAATCGGGTCGGAGTGTTAGAATCGACCTGAGTCTGTGATAATTGCTCCTGCACCTTAGCATGTAATTTCTCCTGCGATATACCAAAACAACCCGGTCAATTCTAACACATTTAAAATGCATTGTTATAAAAATTAAATATACAAATTAACTGCTACTTACAGCCAGATCCCGGTTCTGCGCTTTCTTCACTTCATCGGCGTAATTTGGACTCCAACCAGTCAGAATACGATCTGCAAAATGCCCGAGTTCTCCCCTTCCCTATTTTATTCACATATATCATTAACTCATAACACATAAATTATACTCAAATTGATAACCTAAGAGCTAATATATTATATACCTCAAGCGCCAATTGATGATAATGCTGGCTGAAGGACCTGGAGCCCCCGTGATGCTCGTAACTGCGGGGCGCATTGCGGTTCCTCCTTGCTATTTCAGCTTGTTCCTGCAAAAGAATGTTAAACAGATATAATATAGAATTTCAAACAATAAACGAAGATATATACTTCAATAATACCTGAGCTTCGGCCGTGTCCCAATAATCGCAAAGTGCAAAAAAATCAACTCCATCGGCGCGCTCGTCAAGATGCCAGTAACGCTCCCAATCTTCTGTTCTTTGAGTAAAATATTTTTTCTTCAGCTCTGACCGCCACCTCTTGAACGATAGATTGATTTGCGTGAAGCAGTAAGTCCAGGCACAAGCGTAATCGTCAAGAAAGAAAAATCGCTTCAGCATACAATGAAAAAAGAGATACAAATCAGTGTGTTAAACAAAATAATAAAATGACTAATAATTATGAGAATTAAAATAAATGACTCACACATATATATCGCCAACAAGCCACCAGCGCATCAATCCGCTGCGACTTCCACGTCAAATATATGTTGAAGAAATCATGTCTCCTGGCTAAAGCGGCGAGGAAATTGTTGAATGAGTTAGCAAATGGCCCGACAGGCACGCCGTTCTCCCATCGGATCACGGCCCTCCGATGAATATCTGGGATGAGGTTCTGTGTCTTGGTACCACTGCGGCCGCGCCTAGTAGGTCGCTCGGTACCTACGAAAAAATGAAATTCAGGCGAAATATAAATCAATCAATATCGATAATACAAATTAAAATATTAACAGATAAACTATAAAAATCTATACACACCTTTCAATTCGAGGCATCTACGCCTTGCTTGTTCATACCTCTGCTGTGCGATAAGTCGCAAATCATGATAAGCATCCCAATCCTCCTTCACCTTGGCCGGGTCGTGGGCTCGCTGATCCGGAATAGAATCCGGCGGTAGTGGCGCAGCTTCTACAGCTGTGCTATATGGCTCATATCGGCGCTCCTCCAATACATCTGCAGCCTGAGGAGGCGACGGCGGCATCTCTGCATGCTGGGCAGGATCAACGAGTGTCTCCGCATCAGGTGGAGCATCTCCTCGTCCTGTGTCCTGTGGCGGCCCGTCATGTGTAGCAGCGATGCGGCCTGCGTAGGAAATGTGAAAAAATAATGTTAGGCTCGTATTAATAGTTTATAGAAATGTACAGATATAATAAATAAATAAAAATACCTGACGTAGAGCCATGTGCGTCGCCTCCAGAATGTCTACCAATAAGTCTCTCAAGCGCTCTCTTACGTAATCCTTTTGTCATCTATACTTTGAAAACATAATGAGTACCCAACAAAACTATAATACATGACAAAAACTGATACATGATAACCAGTCAAACAGATAATATAAAGGCAATACTATAATACATGACACAAACTGATACATGATAACCAGTCAAACAGATAATATAAAGGCAATACTATAATACATGACACAAACTGATACATGATAACCAGTCAAACAGATAATATAAAGGCAATACTATAATACATGACACAAACTGATACATGATAACCAGTCAAACAGATAATATAAAGGCAATACTATAATACATGACAAAAACTGATACATGATAACCAGTCAAACAGATAATATAAAGGCAATACTATAATACATAACACAAACTGATACATGTTAACCAGTCAAACAGATACATGAATGTTCTTTTTAAATCATAACCAAGCATTATATTATTATGATGATGTTGAGGCTCTACTCTGCGACCGTGTGCGGTTAGCCTGCGACCGTGTGCGTGCAGACAAAAGGACTGTCCTTATAGTTTTATCGACTCTACCGTGGACTCGTTTTTTGATTTTACGCCTTGGCTCACATATAATCGCAGGTACATCAGGGCGCGCCAGTGCAATTTCATCCACCAGATTATTTTGTGTCAATGAAAACTCAGCAACTGTTTCGTCGGCCAAGATAACATCTTCATGATCTTCGTCAGACACGGCTTCATGAATGTAGGATCTAGGCGGATTCTTAAGGACAACCCATTCGTCATTTTTCATTATATCTTTGACATAAAAGCACTGTTTTGCGTGAGCAGCTAACATGTACTTTTCAGTCTGATATATTTCCTTGTTAAGATTAACGAGTGTGTAACCGTAGTCATCCTTCGCCTTTTTCAGCTCACTCCAACGAACCTTAAACATCACATGTCTGACTTCATTATTAATCCCATAGAAAATCTCCACAATGTCTTCTACCTGACCGTAGCAATAGATTTCACCTTGTATCGGATTTAGATCTTTTGAACTAGCGTATGACAGTTGCGAGAAGGAGCAGAACACACCGCTATTTTGCGTTTGTCGTCTCTCTTCGAAACCGATGGTGTTAAACCTAAAGCCGTTGATACAGTAGCCTCCATAACGCTTAACCACGTTAGAAGGACCTCTGGCATATAAACATATTTTCTCAGGCAGGTTAACCCCATTCGTAATACGTCGGTCAACCTTTAAGAAAAGAAACAAATAGTTTAAATATCTGTTGGCAGGCACATATTTGATATACGAATCAGAAATGTAAATAAATCTTACTTCACCCTTCAGCCATGCAGGGAATTGTCTAGAGTGTGTGTCCATAACTCTTTTGTTTTTTGTTCTGCATTTAAGAATAGTCTGGACATATCGGATGTGAAGCCTAGAATAAAATCATTTACAACAGTTAAATAGAGATAGTTATTGTGATGTGATATGATCTGATTCAAACAGTTAAATACTTACGTCGCGTATATGTTAAATGTAGTATCATTGCTCAAGATATATGTGTGGGCTTGATCTAGCTCCATTCTGGGGAATCTAGTGTCCTCCCCACGATCATTATAGAATGTTCCGTCAATTATTCGTTGGGGACGGTTGAGCCTTGTCTCCACACCCCGCAAGTAACGAGAGATGAAATTCAAACTCTCATTACTTATATAGTTCTCTGCTATCGATCCTTCAGGACGTGCACGATTATGCATCAAATGTTTCATGAAACCCAAATACCTACAAGCATATAGTTTCATGATTTGTGACAAAATAAAACTGATATACGTAATTTAACAAATATTAATTGAGCATTATAATAATAAATACCTCTCCACAGGGTACATCCAGCGATATTGAACTGGTCCTGCGATGCGGGCTTCATATGCTAAATGTATTGTGAGATGCACCATGACCGTAAAGAACGAGGGTGGAAATAGAATTTCCATTTTACACAGTGTATTGGCTACACGTCCCTCTAATTCTTCAAACTCCCTGACATCAATCACCTTGGAGCACAACTGCTTGAAGAAACCGCAATATTCTATTACCACCATCGCGAGTTCCTTCTCAGCATGTCGCAACGCAACCGGGAGAAGTTGATGCAATAGAATATGATGGTCATGTGTCTTGAGTCCCAAAATTTTCCTGTCCTCAATATGCACATTTGCTGAAATGTTTGAAGCATAACCATCCGGTGTCTTCACGGACTTTAGAAATAAACACATATTATGGATCTCATCCTTCGACAGTGTGACACGGGAGGCTGGGAGTACAAACTTTCCGTCACCCTTATCTATAGCTTGCAGTTCGGGACGGATGTTCAATTCTGCTAGGTCTCGACGTGCCCTTAAGTCATCTTTTGATTTTTTTCCCGTCCTGCAACAAAGTGTTCAAGAGATTCTCGCATATGTTCTTCTCGATGTGCATGACATCCAAGTTGTGACGTATTTTTAAACTTCTCCAATATGGCAATTGATAAAATATGCTGAATTTTGACCATCCATGCGGAAGTTCAGTACCCTTAGAGACACGCACATGCGATTGTCAAGAGATTCTCGCATATGTTCTTCTCGATGTGCATGACATCCAAGTTGTGACGTATTTTTAAACTTCTCCAATATGGCAATTGATAAAATATGCTGAATTTTGACCATCCATGCGGAAGTTCAGTACCCTTAGAGACACGCACATGCGATTGGACAGTGCGAGGTTTATTTCCCTTTCAATTTTGTGTGCCCTGTAGGTAACCATCTTCTGTGTTGCCAATAACAGAACTTGCGGCTGTATTTCAGGAACTTTCCCTCATAATCTGACATGCAAACCGGACAAGCAATCTGACCCTTCGTCGACCATCCAGACAAGTTAGCATATGCTGGAAAGTCATTAATTGTCCACATGACCATTGCACGCATACGGAAAGCCTCCTTACCATAAGCATCGTAAGTGCTGACGCCTTCATCCCAGAGAAGCTTCAAGTCGTCAATTAATGGTTGGCGGAAAACATCAATGTCATTTCCAGGAGAATATCTTCCAGGGATCAAGAGTGACAGTATCATGTATGGCTGCTTCATGCACATCGACGGTGGCAGGTTGTACGGTGTGAGCAACACTGGCCAGGTAGACCAAGCAGAGCTCATTACTCCAAACGGATTAAATCCGTCGCTAGCAAGCCCCAGCCTAACATTTCGAGACTCCTTACCAAAGTCAGGGTATATACGATCGATGTGCTTCCATGCCTCACCATCAGCAGGATGTCTCAATTTCCCGTCCTCTTTACGATCGGTCAAATGCCATCGCATATTCTTAGCCAGCTCGGCAGACATATAAAACCTCTGCAGCCTAGGAATAATAGGAAAATATTGGAGAACCTTCACAGGGATTCTGCTCTGTTTATTGGATGATATGCCTTCAGATGTGCCCGTATGTTTTTTCCAGCGTGATACATGACACGTCGGACATTCCTCTAGACCTTCATTACCCTTATTGTACAAGATGCAGTCATTAGGACAGGCGTCTATCTTTTTGTAATCAAGACCCAGGGTATCAACAATCTTGTGAGCTTCATAATAAGTTGTGGGGATGCTCTTCTCGCCGCCTGGAATGACTTTCCTGAGCAAGTCTAATAACATATCGAAATGTGTAACAGCCATCCCACTGAGTGTTTGGATATGAAGAAGCCTCAGCATAAAAGAAAGCCTTGTGAACTCGGTGCAACCCTCGTATAACGGTGACTCGTTTTCTTCAACGAGTCTCATCAATCGGGATACATCTTGAAACATATCAGTAGTGTTAACATCACTCGAAGAAGGCACGGTAAGAATATCTTCCAACATATCAGTTGTGTTAATTGTCGGATTGTCGACATCAGTAAACTCTTCCTCTAATTGCATCACCGGGACGCCTTCACCGTGATGACTCCAAAATACATAAGAGCTATCAAATCCATTGATTGACAGATGGAAACTTACGTCACTCCTAGTGAGCATTTTATCATTCCTACAATTCTTACAAGGACAAAAAATCAACCCGCTGAGTGACCGTAGAGGGTTGGTGTCAGAGTAGGCTAAGAAAGCTTCTATCCCATCCTTGTATCGAGTGTCTAGATGCCTTCGATCACGTGGTATGCCCATGAACGATTTGTCAGGAATTGTCCGCATCTAGAATTTAAAAATTAATGGAAGTGAGCATATCCCTACATATATCATTTTAAGTTATAGGACAAGTGTGTGTGATCGGCTGTCAGAGGAAGGCTTCTATCCCATTAGGTATGTAAACGTAGCGTGTAT